GAATAAAAGATGGTTTTTAAAACCCCTAATAGACTGTATGAGTGGTTAGTCATGCATTTTAGACTATACAATACCCCCAGTACTTTCATGAGACTAGTGAATACAATTCTAAAACCCTTTATAGGAAAACATTTGTGATATATTCTGATGGCATTCTCATTTTTTCAGCCCCAATGAGAAAGATCACCTATGGAACCTAAAATCAGTGTTATTTAACCTACAAAAGGAAAGTTTTACAACAATATTAAAAAAAAGTTTCTTTTGTATGCCTGAAGTTACTTTTCTAGAGTTTATTATGACTATTGATGTTTGAAAGCTAATCTCGCAAAAATTCTAGTCATCTTAGATTGGCTCCTTCCTAAGAACATCACGAATGTCCGTAATTTTCATGAATTAGCAGCCGTCTAACAAAGGTTTATGAAAATTTTCAGCACAATTGTAGCTCATATCACTTATTAAAAAAAGATAATTTTGTGTGAACCACATCAACCCAAAAGGCCATGAAGCAAATTAAAATCCTTATGACCTCATCTCAAGTATTAAAGCTTCCTGATTTTAACAAAACTTTTGAGATCATTTGTGATGCCTCTGGTGTAGACATAGGAACATTCTTAGTCAAGAAAACCATTATATTGCTTTCTATAGTGAGAAGTTAAATCAAGCAAAACAATGATACTCTACCTATGATAGAGAATTTTAAACAATTATTCAAACGCTTCGACGTTGGATACATTACCTATCGGACAAAGAGATCATTTTGAACACTAATCATCATGCTCTAAAGTTCATTAACACTCAAAATAAATTAAGTTATAAGCATGCTATATGGGTTGAGTATCTTCAAGATTTCACTTTTGTCTTAAATCATAAACGAAAAGTTGACAATAAACACATTGATTCACTTTTTAGGGTGACATTAGTAATTTCATCTTTAGAATTTTAGATCATTGAATTTGAACGACTTCAAGATGGCTATCAAGTTTATCCAGACTTCCATCTGATCTATCTTGAGCATATTAAGAATGGACAATCATTTATTGTTCTCATCAGTGAATATTCCATCCTTAATGGATATTTATATAAAATGAGGAAATTGTGCATTCCCGAGACTTCACTTAGAGCATTTCTAATTATAAAGTTACTTCGGGAGGGATATCGGAGTATTTTGGAAAATTAAAATTATTCACCTCATTGAATCAAGATTCTTTTAACCTTCTCTCAAGCAAAATATGGAGAAAATTGTTACTTAGTGTTATACCTATAGAAAAACTAAAACCACAAAGCAGCCTGGGCAATATTGTGCCTTACCCATACCCTTTAGAACTTGGCAAGACCTTTCCATGGACTTTAAAGTCAAACATCTATTTATGTGGCATTGACCTCGCTCATGTGAAGTAAATGTATGCTTATGTGACTTTAGGTGGCATTGACTTGGTCGATGCATGGAGTAGAAACTTCGACCAAGGTGGTTTTGGGTGGTTCTAAAAGGGGGTCAGCCACTCCCTATCTCCCTCTTATTAGGTAGTTATCATGGTTAGATCAGATGTGATGAAAGGGTGTTAGCATTGTATTTGAACTCTTCTTTTCTCTGAAATGAACATTATTGACTGATTATGTGAACTCATGGATGAATAATTCTTCATTGGCTTGAGAATTGACAGGAAGCCTCCCAAGGGATTGGTGATCTCCTTGGAAACATATTTGGGTGAAAAGAAATTTAATTTCTCTACATTTCTATCATGCAAATCTTGTGTTATCTATGTTAGTGGTGGTGTCTACTATATGCTTCAAAAGAAAAACTCAAAATCATGTATTTCATCACTTTATTTTATTGTTTTAAATGAGAATCCCTAAATTTATTTTTCTCTGAAAAACCTGCACTAGTTCTGTCATTTGTCAAAGTTAACCCGCTAATCATATCCAAAAGTTTTAAATTTGGTATCATTTTGTTAGTCTTTTTCACTACTTCAAAAATATAAAAATATATATGTAATATTATGTTAAAATTATTGGAGAAAGATTAGCCCAAAGAAAACTCCAATTTTCTGTCTTGTGTTTCATGTTCCTATATTTCTATGTTTCTTGTCCGCAAATCCATAACTTCAATGGTCCAAACCCAACAAAGTTCTCATGATCCATACTAGTGTTTCTACTACTATCTCTACTTTAAATTACCAAATTCTCATTGTTACATAAAAAGATCTAGCAAATTTCCCAAATTTGGTCACCTCTACACAGGAATGACCTATCTTCAGTATACATGTGTCTCTCAAAATCAAATCAGTCCCAAAACTTACCATACATTCAATATCGGTAGTTAACTCTCTACCCTATAATTCACAAGCTTGTTTGCATGGTTTTGAGGTCTACGAATAAAGTTCTATATGTTTGAAATGAGACTTCTAGACTCTAGACAGAACCTGAAATAAACCCTAATTCCACTTTTACCACTTCCAATTGAGCATATTTATCAAAATTTAATCTCATAGCCTTTGAAGAATATTGAGTCCACCGTGATCACCTCTTAATGATCTTGATCTCCCACAAACAGCCATCCACTCACACCCTACCCCATCAATACTTGTGTAAACATACATAATAACAGAACTAACAACTGTTAAACCCATAGAGAAGACACCTATTAAATTTATATTTCTATTATCCAGCCAACACTTAATTAAAAGAAGAATGCAAAATATCAATTAATGCTAATTCAATCCCATACTATTAGGATTATGATTGTGTTGTTCATCCAAAAAGACACATTGTTGTTGCAGCATCCCAATCATTCAATGTCTGCTACTAATTTTATATTCAATAATTTCTCAAATCCTTCACACAGCTAAAAGAAAATACAAAATTTAATAAATAAATCACAATTGCTCAGCCAAAGAATACAGTAAAGATAATTATACGATGACTTGTGTTCATTCAAAAAGGTACCTATCCTCAAACTATAAGAAACTGTACACCAAGAAATGTGCCCCATTCAAACTTTTTTAGAAATTTGGACCAAAAACATACCTTTTTGATTTGTCATCCGATATATTATTTACCTAACTTTCAACAATGAAAATATTACCTCATATAAAGTTAACTGGCCTTCAAATGATGCAGCAAATCCTTTGATTGGAAATTTATTATATTAATTACAACTATCGTCACTAGTCAACATTTTAGAAGTGAATAAAATAATAATAATAATAAAATAAAAAAAAATGAAATTTTAGAAATGAAGATTATTGCAAAAATGGTGCCTGCAAACTAGGTTGATCATGAAAGTTCATAAAAGCATAAGCTACCCATTAAAGGCAAGTCTTGTTAAAGATTACTTGGACTTCAACACTATGAGGCAGAGTTCTAATAGCCTCATGAGAGTTGATATAGAACATTAAGATAATTTTAAAAGCCCCACTACGAGATTAAGATCAAGTACTCAACATGTAGCCACGAGATAAAATATCACCGCAAGAAATAATCAATAAAGTGCCCTAAATGGAACCATAAAAAAAATGTAATTAAAAATAAAGCTTGGAACTCAATTTTTTAGTTTAATTTTTTAAATTTTTAAATCTTAATTTATAATTTTCAAATCAAACAGTTTGTAAGTATTCTTTATTATTTTAAATAATTTAAGACTTGATTAATAAGTGTTTAGGCCGGTCACCCCGTGTGAAAAGAGAACCTTGCGATAGAACTAAAGTGATTCCACTTCATTTCCTTATTTGTTTCCCCGTTTTATTTTTTCTTCGCTAGTATTTTTTAATTTGAAATGCAAAACCGAATGTGATAGTTTAATTATTGTTGGACATAACAAGAAAACGAAATTTAATGTTTGGGCAAAATTTGAAGAGTGAAATATCAAGATCTGGAAACTTGATGGTCAACCCTATCATTTGGGTACTTCTAAGCGGATTAACTAGGTATATTCCTTATGATTGTTGGTCTCTCTCCAAATCTTTCAAGCAAATTCTCTATATCCCTAGCATCATCCCAAAGCATTCCTCACAACCTAAAAACATAAAAAATGATAATAAAAAAATAAAAAAAAATCTTAAACCTATCTTGAAGACAACAATTACAACCTCTCAACCTATTTTTGGTCAATACTCCTGCCAACCCTACCACCTTGGATCTCTGCAATCTAATCCCTACACAGATATTCCCCTACCATTTAACCTTTCCAGTACCTCAATATACCCTTAAGCCCCTCCACTAACTCAACGTTCCAAGGCTAATCAAATCTATTCAAACTAGGTCACCTTGATAGTCCACTAATATTTACAAATTATGTTCTACCATAAATCCTCCACAATAAGAAAACTAGAATCCAAGTCCCCAAGACAAGCCCTAAGGTTACCCATGACCTAACTAATAGTTCAACCCCTCCTTTTACACTTACATAACATTATTTCAGCACTTAAGAATGTCACCTACATCCTCAAATCCCCACCAAAACAGGTTAAAGCCGTACTCTTCTGGTTTTAGGTCATTTATACCATTTCTTCTCGACCATATGGTCATTAGGCCTCAAATGTACTCAACCAGAAAATCAATTAAAACTCAATTATGATAGCTATCGTATATCATAAAGCAAGTTGTTAAACATTGACAACTACAAGACACTGAAACAATAAAATTTAAAATATTTGTTGCACTATTGAAATAACAAATATGGGGCCTTTGAACAAGAGAAAAACAAAGTACAACCGACGCCAAATACAGCAGCATGGGCCAGTAAGTTTCAAGAAAAAAAAATGATTTTTGTCATTTCGCGGCTAAAGTGACAGAAGTCATGAACACACTCACTAGACAAATATAACAAAGGTCTAGAGTCAATTGGCATGATTACAAACTCAACCACGAGAATAACGATACAACCTGCCTAGCAATCAAAAAGTAAGCAAAAAGCGTTATTGGCGCTGAAGATTAAATCTACCAAGTAATCTAAATAGTAATAACATTTAAAAAGAATGACTTAAAAAGCTGAAATATCTAACCATTACGGATTCGCCATTTTCAATGCACTTAACAGCTTCGGACTGGAAGGGGTCGAGCTCGAAGGGGAACTCCTTAGCCGGCTTTGTATTACCTTCGGCAGTGCGGGGATGTCCTGGGTGAGAGGCGACATAGCCCTCCGGGTAAGAGACGTCGTGCAGGCAGGCCACAGGTTCATCGATGAAGATCGGTTCGTCCCTCCTGTGCGATTTATGTGGTATGGGAGTGTCTGGAGTCGCACCATCTAGGGATTTTCTCTTCAGCAATGAAGACATCACTGGAAAGAATCTTAAGCAGCGTTGAATAACAATTGTAGAGGGGATTAGGAGGGAGAAATGGCAATAATAGGAGATCGAAGGGGTTCCGTGGAGTTAAAGCAGAGCCCTGCTTCAGGTTCTCCTGAGTTCCCAGGGGAAATTTTGCGAGGGCGATTAAAACCCTAGCTCCGCGCAAAATTCCTTTGAAAAAAAATACAATTTTTTTTTTAATTAATTAATATTTTGGTGAAGTTAATTACGGGCCGGTTTGGGGCAGCTTATTTGGTGTGTTGGCAATTTTTTTTTAATTAATTAATATTTTTGTGAAGTTAATTAAGGGCCGGTTTGGGGCAGCTTATTTGGTGTGTTGGCATTTTGAAAACGCACCTGGTCTGTTTGGGTAAACTGCGTTTTGGCAGCTTATGTGTTTGGAAAACGGTAAAAAACAAAGCACACATACCTAGCTGCGGTGGCAGCTTTCTGGCAGCGATCTGGCTTCTTCAAAAAAATAAAAATTTGTAATAGCTATCGCACCAAGCTTATCAACAGATTATTTTTAATCAGCTTATCAGCAGATTATTCAATAAGTTGCAGCTACCCCAAACAGACCCTAAAACTTACAGAAAACAATCGTGTGTCTCAAAAGATAACTATTTAACGCATAATATGCAATCAAAATTCCTAAGACAATATTATTGGCGTGTAATATTTATATGTCTGAGGATTGGTTGGATTAGAATAATAATTTAACATTTAACATTAAATGAATATTCACTAGAAAAACAAGTGGGGAGTCATATTGGCTTTTTAGGTTGAAAACCTTGGAAAGAGAAAAAAACACGGGGCGAAATAATTCACCATATAATTGTAAATACATAGGTAGCTCTTCTCTTAACTTAGATAAGATAAAATTACAACGTTGACATACAGCGGTAGTTCGACAATAATATGTGCAATGGATCATGAAGGTCGTACTCAATTGTTGTGGAGGCAGTAGTTTGCTATGAATATTATTGACAGTGGTTGTAGTACCAACTTATCATAAAGGTCGTAGTTGGCAATGTAGGTCATAGTTATTAGTTTCAAGATCGTTGGTTGGTCATAATGGTCGTATTTGGGAGTTGTGATAGCATTCAAAGGTTGCAAAGGTCAGAATTAAAAGCTGCAAGAGTTGTGAACTGTGTAGGTTGTTGTTAGTCACATAAGTTGTAGCAGAGAGTTGTAATAACTTCCGTAGGCCACAAGGGCCAGAGTTGGGAGCTACATTAGATGTGAGTCATTTAGATCGTAATCAGTCATCTAAGTCATAATGGTGAGTTGTGATAACGTCGATTAGCCGCAGAGATCGAAATTGAGAGTTGCATGAGTTGTAGACCACATAAGTTGTAATTGATCATGTAGGTCGTAATTGTGAATTGTGATAACATCCATAGGGCATAGAGGTTGAAGTTGGAAGTTGCATGAGTTATAAGCCATGTAGGACATAGTGATAAGATGTGTGGAGAGAGCTTTAAGAGTTCGGAGGAAATCATTGTACTCTGAGTAGCAAGGAGCGTTGTTACATATGATCAGGTAGTAATAATTTGTAAAGAAATTAGCAACCATATCAATCACCTCAAAAGGCTCAATGAATCTCGAACTCAACTTACCCACTCTACCACATCTATTCACCCCTTTCATGGGATTGAATTCCAAAACTACAAAATCGCCCACTTAAAATTCATTGTCTAATGCTTTGGGTCATGATAATTCTTATGTCTTTCTTATGCTTCTCTCAATCTATCTTAAATTAGTCTGATCTTCTAAGTGCATCATCTAATAAAGTAAGACTCGTCACTCACATATGTCCAAGTTAAAGGTTGATACACCTAAAATATATAGTATTTTTATACAATTTTTTATGCCTATTTTTTAGATATTGCGCTTTAATGGAAGATATTTGTTTGTTTTTCTTTCAGGTACAAGTAAAAAGGTGAAAAATGCCAGAACAAGGGAAAAATGGTCAAATTTGGAGTAAAAATTTAAAAATGGTGCAAATTTTTTATGCCTATTTTTTAGATATTGCGCTTTAATGGAAGATATTTGTGTGTTTTTCTTTCAGGTACAAGTAAAAAGGTGAAATATTTTTATACACATTTTTATGCCTATTTTTTAGATATTGCGCTTTAATGGAAGATATTTATGTGTTTCTCTTTCAGGTACAAGTGAAAAGGTGAAAAATGTCAGAACAAGGGAAAAAGGGTCAAATTTGGAGTAAAAATTTAAAAATGGTGCAAAAGTATTTTGGTGCCTAAGCGCCGGTAAAACAGAGAAGGTCGTGCCTAAGCACCAGAGGTCTCGCGCTTAAGCGTCATTGACAGTTACTTGACAGGTTAATTCATTTTGACAAATTTTGAAGGGACATTTGAAGCACCTATTGGCTAAAATGGGAGGTTATAACCCCCAAGGATGAAAATATAATTAAAGAACTTGTGAAAGGAGACATCCCTTGATAAATACATCGAATCAGGACACATTTTGAAGAGATACAAAGACACCTCTTGGAAAATTATAAAAGAAGGAAGTTGAGACTTTTTGAAGGGGGAGTCCTGAAAAATCTTAAAGAGGTTCTGAAAAGTTCTTGAATAAGTTCGTGAAGAAGCTTTTGGAGAAAATTTTAGGCACCATAAATTTATTTTCCTTTTGTTTACAGTTTTAATTTGAGAGTTAAGAGTGTTGTAAGAGAGGAGATTCAAAAGAACTTAAAGAATTTGGTGGAGGATTTGAGATAAGTTTTTATCTTTATTTTAAACTACTTTTGGTTTTAATTGAGACTTATTGTTAGTTTGATAATGATTTCTACTTTTAAACTAAAGCGTGTTTTTATTTTCTCCATGGATTCTGAGTATTTTTCTTTATCTTTCTCCTTAAAATCATAAGTAATTAAAGTGTTGGATGGAAGTTGTGGAGAGTATTAATCTTTAATGTTGGAAGAAGTTGTGATGATTTAATTCTATGCACTTTGTTTACTTTTTTATCTGGCCCATCTAGATGTTAAAATTTGTTGTGAGAACATGTAAGAACGGGGTTGGTTTTGTCTCAGTCAACAATTGGAAAGAATCATAAGATTGTATGAATAAGAATGTAGTTCATATGATTGAGTGCAAATAAATGGGGATATAATTTTTGAAGGGTGTAGAGTTAGAGAATTTTAGAGGGACAAGCTAAAACCTCCAATTGGTTTATTGTTTTAGGTTTTGATACAAGAGTTAGCCCCCAGGTGAAGGGAACTAAGGGAACTCTAGAGTGAGAGCTAGTATCTTCTCTGCCTAATCAGTCTTTAGAACTATTCAAACTTTAAATTAGCTAATGTTCTTTATAGCATCTCTAGTAAGGGTATAAAAAAAATATTGCTTCTATTTGGCACAACACAATTTGAATACTTCCACAACATAATTCATATACTTATTACTGATTCATGATAAAGAGAAAGATATTTTGTATTCAGTGTTTTCTTTTACATGAACTCAAGTTATCTTTATTAAGTTTTCATGTCATTTTCAAACATTAAAAATACCAAAAAGAGTTTCAACTACATTCCTGTGATAAAAACTATAATTTAAGTATTTGTATTTTTAATTTTTAAAATAGAAAGTTTGGTTACTTTAATTATCGCATACTATGAACAATCCCTGTGGATTCGATATTTGGGGCTTAATAAAAAAGTCTTATATTATATGATAATGATACATATACTTGTGTAGTATCCCAATATATCTTAAGTTAAAAAGTTAAATTCTTATTTTCTTCAGGATTAAGTTTTTGGTACTATTGCAAAGTAAGGAAAGATAATTGAAAAATATAATTAAACACATTGTTGTACTGTTGCATGTAAACAATTCCTAGACCTTCTACCATATAATGCCCTCATATGATGTCAAAGTAATACTCGATTGGAAACTATTATTGTAAGAAAACTCAATCAAAGGAATATGATCCTCCTAAATCCCTCTAAAATCAAGTGCACATAATCTCAATAGATGCTCCAATGCCTAAATAATCATCTCAGTCTGACCATCTGTTTGCGGGTGAAAAGTTATGTTGAACTTTGATTAAGTCCCCATACCTTCCTGAATACCTCTCCATATTTTAGAAGTGAATCTGCCATCAGGATAAAAAATAATGACCTTTGATATCCCATGTAATCTGATAATCTCACGTATGTATAACTGTGTTAATTTCTCAACTAAATTTGTTTGTCTCATAAGAAGAAAATGTGTGGACTTCTTGAACTGGTCAACCACCACCAGTAATGCATCATGACCTTGCCTAGACCTTGAAAAACCCATAACAAATTCCATAGTGACATATTCTCACTTTCACTCAGAAGTAGGCAAAGGTTACAACAAACCAATAGGTCTCTAATACTCTGTTTTCATCATCTGACATGTATCACATCTTGAAATAAACTTAGCCACCTCATGCTTTAACCCAAGTCACCAAAACACCAACTTCAAATCATGATACATATTATCGCTCCCTTAATGAATTGTATATCTTGAATAATAAGCCTCATACAATATCTCCTTCCTCTAATCACCATCAGCAGGTGATACACCTAATATACAGTGTTTTTAGATACATTTTTATACCTATTTTTGAGATATTGCAGTTTAATAGAGTGTATTTTTGTGTTTTTCTTGCCGATACAAGTAAAAATAGAAAAAATGCTTAAAGGAGTGAAAAAGGATCAAATTTAGAGCAAAAATATTAAAATTTGTGCAAAAGAGTTTTGGCGCCTAAGCGCCAAATCCGGCACTTAAGCGCCGGTTAAACAGACAAGGCTGCGCTTAAGCACCGAGACCCCGCGCTTAAGCGCCACCCGCGCTTAAGCGCCAATGACAGTTACTATACTAGTAAAATCGGTTTTCACGAATATCGAAAAGGTTTTTGAGTAGTGAAATCGGTTTTCACGAATATCGAAAAGGTTTTTGAGGCACCCATTGGCTTAATAGGTGGTTGAAACCACCATGGACAAAATTTATTATGAAAGGATGCGTCTCTTGGGCAAATACATTGAATCAAGACATATTTTGAAGAGATCCCAAGGCACCTCTTGGAAAACTATAAAAGAAAGAAGAGAGGACTTAGAAAAGAGTCATGAAAATATTGGCAAGTTTTGAAAGTTCTTCTCTTGG